TATGCCCTTCATCTGCCCTACAGGGCTACATAGGTTCACACTCAGAATGAACAAATCCTTACAAAATTGTCAAAAAGCCTCTCAGAGTGGGGCGGTTTTGATTTTTAAGGCTTTATGCCCCAAAGTTGAATTTGATGTGCTCCTTGGAGACTTCATGCCCTAACTTTCTTTCACGTGCACGGATTCTGCACATGGACTCTACAGGATTTTTTTGTGTACATGAATTCCTTTACTAGTTCTTATCATGGAAAACAGCATTACTAGTTTTTCAGATAATAAAAACAAGTCTCACAGAGGTTGGGAAACTTCCCTAAGTATACAACCAACATAAAGTAGATCCAGAACCTGTAATCTCAAATTGTGCTTATGTTTATTTCATGGTGATTCTATGAATAAAGGTACCATATTTGGCCCCAATCCAGGGGCACCTTGGCATCTGAACTTTTGGCATCCAATTATCCACAGAAATCTAACCTGTAAGCCAAGAAAATAACCCCTAGTTCCCTCATGTGCTGCCTATCTGAAATGAGAGAGGTAGGAGAATAAGAGGGAGAGTGAAAGATATCAAGAAAAAGAGCCCACAAAAGTCTCATCAATGGGCCTGACATCAGGCACCAGGCTGATAGTCAGAAGGCATAGTCAAAGTTTGACAGGAAAATTCAGGCTAGTTGACCCGGGACTCTGCTTTTATTACATTTCCTTTCATTTCTCACTAGCTTCAAAAATACCTTGCTTTTGCCTCCAGTCTCTACTAAGCCTGGGTTTGGATGACTCTCCTTGGAGACTTATATTTTGGTCACTGTCATCTTACTTTGTGCTTTCTAAGCTGTGACAGCCTTGGGCAACTCTGAACCTCAGGTTACTTATCTTTAAATTGGGGGTGATATTAATAATAATTATAAGGATAGCAACAGTGACAATAATATCTGCTTCACAGGGTAGTTATTATGAAACTTAGGTTTTATTATATCTTCATTCTGTGCAAAGGCATCTTTGAAGAAATTTCACTGAATGTAATAAATAATATTCTATGTCAGAGCTATGGCTATTAAAGAATTCTGTGTCTATAAATTTTTGTTTATGGGTTCAGGAAAGTTAGCAGCTGCTCTGTTCACATTACAAGTAAGTAGGTTCATCCTCAGAATAAACAAAGGGTGAGTAGTGTGAATGTACACATTCACATGCACTCATATATATACTCACAGATATCTATCTATAGATATAGATATATCTACAAAGTTTAGCAAATGCTGTGCTACTTCTCAAAGGGTGAGACATGCTTTTGATGTGGTGTTTTTAATTTTATTTTGTGTCTTAAATATTTTCAATAAGGGAAATGTAGAGTGGGAATAAGGCTTCAAAAATTATTTTAGATAAATACTTACTAATCAGTCCTCAGAAGTTCAGTAGTGATTTGTTTAGGGCTCATTTATGACTTTTTGGAAGCTTCAGATTTGAAGCGAAATATCCACATCGCTGTACAATCCACATATCTTCCCTCACGTGTACTCAAAAGTGTTTGAGTGTCTCATGTGAACTCTTTATATTTTGCAACAGTTTATCACATTTTCTAACTTCTCTTGAAAATTCCAGTTGTTTAAATTTATGGTGTCAGTACAGTTGGCTTACCAGAAAACAAGAAAAAAAAATCAGTATGGAATTATTTTTCAGGCAATCGTGTCATTAGTTAAAACAGCAGCACCCAAAACAGTAGGAACTTACAGGATGCAAGTTAATTTTTATTCAAATAACTGAACATGCATAATAAATGATCTTCAAAATGACAGAACAGAAAAAAATCTCAAATACAACTCAAATTTCCCTAAGCTTGGAACAATGGTTTTGCCTGTTTTTAATGAATTATAAAACTTGAAAAATCTCATGCTTTCTTTTGACATAAAATGCCTCTTAAGAAACAATATTTGCAGCATTTTGATGTAAATGAATCACAAGCATGTGGATTAAGTTTTCCACAAAATATGCATGATTCAAAATTTAAGTGGAAAACTACTTTAAAGAAATGTGTTGAGTTTGGTTAACTAAAATAATGGTATAATTAGCAAAATACTTAAGAGGTCACATACGCAGTGGGTTATTTTGTTGGTAATTCTATGTACAATTCTGAATCAGACACCTCCTTCCATTTACCAGCTGTAAGACATTGGACAAGTTCTTTTACTTTCCTCATCTGTACAATGGAGTTAGCAATACCTGACTCAGTGTTACTGTGTAGGTTCAATAAAAGTGGTTCATTTGTGCACAGCATTTGCTAAACTTTGTAGATCTATCTATATATCTGTACCTATATCTATATCTATATAGATATCTGTGAGTATATATATGAGTGCATGTGAATATGTACACATGTTTTAGCTGTGTCAGTGTACATGTGGGCATGAGCATGCAGAAGTTTCGTGTGTGTGCAAGTATGTGAGTACTTATTAGCATTTGTGCATGTGCTTGAGCCTCTGTGTTGGTGGTGTGTGGATGTGCATGATTGTGCAAATGTGTGTGAGTGCATGTGAGTGTGAGTGCATATATGTACATGCATGCATAATTTATGGACCCATTTTTAGGTGCCCCTTTTATGTATAGTGGCGACAGGTTCTGGATTATAAATCATCATAACAGAATGGGCAATGATGCCTTGGACCTGTACTGAAATTTCAGCCAGTGCTAATTTGTCAACCCATTAGTAGAAATGAATCAATTCATTAATTTTTATATTTCTAGAAAGCTCTCATTTAGTGAATTTTCTATCTGAATTTCCAATGCACTTGGCATATTTGTAACCCCAAAACAAAGACGCTATAAGACTTCATATAGTGTATGTAAAGATCATTTTATATTTTTCAAAGAAAGGTTTTTTACAAATTTTAAACTAGAATAAAGGAGGTTTAACAAATAGCAGTATGTATATGTCTGAATAAATGCACAATTGCTTTTTCTTTTTGGAACCAGGGATTGAACCCAGGGGTGCTTAACCCTTTTTTATATTTTATTTTGAGATGGGGTCTCACTGAGTTGCTTAGGGTCTCACTAAGTTGCTGAAGCTGGGTTTGAACTCACAATCCTTCTTCCTCAGCCTCCTGAGCCACTAGAATTACTGGCATGTGCCACAGTGCCTGGTGCATAATTGCTTCTTACAGCACCTGTATGCTTTCCTCTTTTGGGATGCTAATGTTACTTGGGCAGAAAAAACTGTCAACCAACTTGTTCAACATCAGGTTGGCAACTGTTCCCTTGTCAGAGCGGACTTTTGAGGCTACAGGCGGTCTGCCATAGTTGTCTTTACAAGCCTTTGATGCTCCCAGTCTAAAGCTCCCTGCAGACATTTCTAAGTCATTCACAACCCATGAAGCAAATGCTCCTGATCCCACTGTGAGAATCTTTCCATGATAGAAGCCACAGGGTCTTCAGCAGTTCCTGGACAGCTCCCAGGTCTCCCAAACTCTCCCAGGACCCAGTTCTTCTGCTAGAAAGGATCGTGGCCACAGTTTCAGAACAGGGTCTCTCCACTAGTGAACATTAAAACATACAGCTCAAAGATGGTCCCATTTCTTCCACTGACTGCTTGTTCTTGGCTTGGCTCCTCAGCTAATAAAGACCATCTACCTGCTCTTTGTGGGATCTGCTTTTCTCTCTGAGGAGCTTCCCCACCCTACTGCAGGGGATGGTTTAGAAGTCTGTGCTGGGGTGTCTAGTGCCACTGCTGTGAGCTGCTTGCACTTGGTGTGGTCTTCTTTCCTCTAATTTGGTCTGGTCTGTGCTACCTATTCACTCTTCTCTTTCTAGGGATCTGACTTGGGGTCTTCCATTAACCACTGGATTCTGGCAGGCACTACAGCTCTTGCTGAGCACCTCTCCTGATTTGAGCTGGGATTTGAGTCCCTTTCTGCTTCCCTACTGTCTGCTATAGTGCTCACAGCTCAGGAAATCCACAACTGTCTGCCAGAACTCTTTTCTCTCCATCTTCTCTCAGCATCCCTGGGCCTTCCCTTTGTTTCCAGTTCAGTGGCCCCTGAACACAAAAATGTACCTAAGAGCAGGGGGTTAACACAGCATCCTCCCCTCTGGAGCTCACTCTTGTCCAACTCTTGACCTCCTTGATTAGGTCTCAATCTGTTTCTGTGAGGTACTGGAACTAATTATGTAGATGAAGAGCTTGCACGCAAATTCAAATAATCACCATGGGCTAGAGGAATAGGAAATTCAAGTGGGTTTTAGTACAGGTCAGATCCTTTACATTAAGCTTCCAACACCCTATCTATATCCTTTATTGTTTAAAAAAATTGTTTCAAAGATTTCTTAAATTTGTGATAAGGTAGCTAGAATTTGATCTCTTTTTTTGTAATAAAGAGATTTGGGTTATAATGGAAATTGGCCTGTCACATTTTGATAATCCTATACTGTAACTGGTCAGCAAAGTCAACTCAATTTTTATTTCTATTTTCATCCATCAGCAGCCTTTATGAGAGAAGAAAAAAATAATTTTTTAATGCTTTTACAATTCTACCAGCAATTTGTTAAGTTATGTAGAGATCATAATAGAATAGTCATTACCAGCTTGGCACAGACCATGAGTTCCCTATTGCCTATTTTACCTGCACTCAAGGTAAGTGCTGTTCTGGATGTATATACCAGCTCTGATCCTTACCAGCTGTGTGAACTTGAGGACTGACTTCATCTCTCTGAACCTTAGTTTCTTTTTTTTCAAGTGATTTTTTGATTTGTTCTTATTAGTTATACATGACAGTAGAATGTATTTTGACATAGTATACCTATCTGGAGTATAACTTTCATTCTTTTGGTTGTACATGATGTACAATTACATTGGTCATGTAATCATATATGTTCATAGGAAAGTTACATTGGATTCATCCTACTATCTTTCCTATTCCCAGTCCCTCTCCTTTCCCTTCATTCTTTGTCTAATCCAAAGTACTTCTATTCTTCCCTCTACTCCCCCTTCTTCTGAGTTAGCATCTGCATATCAGAGAAAAAATATAGAACACTTCACAAATTTGCATGTCATCTTTGCACAAGGGCCATGCTAATCTTCCCTATGTCATTCCAGTTTTAATATATGTGCTGCTGAAACGAACACTTTAGTTTCTTACTTGTACAATTGTTTAGTTATACACAGAGTTCTTTTGCTACTAATAATGGCAGCTTACATTTATTAAGCCTTTAGAGCAGGCACTATGCTTAATTGCTTTTCATGCATTATCTTATTTCATTTTTGTAACAGCTCTCAAGGCACAGATTATTAATTTTATAAATGAGAAAACAAGGCTCATGCAAGTGAAGTGATTTTTCCCAAACTCGCCCAGTTGATAACTTAATCCATGGTTGAATTGAGACTTGAACCCACATGATGGAGTGAGAATCCCAAATGCACTGTATTCTTTTTTGTTTACATTTTTTTTGTAGTTTTAGGTGGGCAGCATGCCTTTTATTTGTTTATTTTCATGTGGTGCTGAGGATGGAACCCAGTGCCTCACACACGCTAGGCAAGCACTGTACCACTGAGCTGCAGCCCCAGCCCCTGCACTGTATTCTTAATCATTATAAAATAGTGCTATGAGGACCAAAGAAGATCAAATTGAGAAGGCATAATAAGTGATCAAGCACTATATACTTATTTATTACTATTAAAATTATGATTACTCCAGAGAGGTTATCATGAATATTTGTTTCTAAAACTTCTAAAAGCAATAAATCCTGAAAAAACGAAAGGAATCAAGTAAATATGAGTTATGAAATATGACTGAACAGAGCAAAGACCCTGGCCCTGATTCTAAGATTTGTGTTCTCATTTTATATTTCTAAGTGATAGAGTACTACACGCATTCTGTGCTTTTTTGAGGGCCAGCATTAGCTGCTATTCTAATTATATTAATGTTTTCCTTAATTTTGGTGATTCTGAGTTTTGGAGACTGCCTCCAAGGAGTCTACAATTATCCTCCAAATGGTCATTAAATTATCAAAGATATGAAACATAAGTAATATTTTGCTTAAAGGAAATACATATAGGCTAAAGAATAGAAGAGAAATTACCAAATCAAACAAAGCCCTTTAAAGCCTGCTTGTTATGAGCACAGACCTAGCATGTGAGTGTCCACTTTTCTACTTAACTTTGGGAAAGGTACTTGATGCCATCAAACCTTAGATGTTATCAGTTTCATTACTTTACATACCACTAAGAAAGAAAAACAATTCCAGTGAAACACCTTAGCAATAGTGCTGCACAACCCATGAGTTGACCAAATGCTTCTCTCTTTGCCTGCCTTATAATTCTTATATCTATGTGGAGTTCTTGTTTTTGTTACCGGGGATGAACTCGGGGGCACTTAACCACTGAGCCAAGTCCCCAGCCTTTTTGTTTTTATTTTGAGATGAGGTCTTGCTAAGTTGCTCAGGGCTTTGCTAATTGGCTGAGGCTGGCTTTGAACTTGTGGTCCTCCTGCTTCAGCCTCCATAGTTGCTGGGATTACAGTTGTGCAACACTGTGTCTGGCTATGTGGAGACTTTTGGCAATTCCTCCTGCCTTTAGTTGCTTTGATTGCAAATTCTTTTGGATATATGTTATAAAATAGAACACAACATTTTTGTGAACATCTTTCTTGGGTCCTGTAAACCAATTATCAGTTTGCAAGAAAATAAGGAATTGTGCACATTCCTGCAATGATACATATTTGTTTCACTGATATCCAGTTGCTACCCACCACTGTTTTCAGTGCCTTCTAGTATGCACGATACCTTTTCCTTTCAATGTCAATTCAGAGTGAAAACTCTTTTTTTTTTTCAGAGTGAATACTCTTGAAAACATTTAAAATGACAATAAGCTTACCATCTTTCAAACTCACTTTGTATATAAACACAAGGGAAGTGACAACAGTCAAAACTACAACAAAATATGCACACTCAAAGGTAATAGCTGCTATGCCAGGCTATCCTCTGGGCCATACTAATTATTGGATGCCATTGATTATAAGATGCATGATGATTTTGGAGATGTAAAATGTGTATCTTAGGATCTATGAAATACAGTCCTCAATCTTTCTTAGCATGTTTCCTTATTTGAAAAAGAATGAGACTAGTGATGCTGCTTGCCTCTAAGGAATTGCACAAGGATATACTTAAATCCCTTAGCATGATGCTGGGCATATAGTCAGTATTCAGAGTTATTATTCAACAAAGCAACTAAACCACTGTTAAGTGGCTATCACTGTGAAAACTAAACATAGAACTGAGATAAAAAACCAACTACAGGACTGTTTTAACTAAATGCTAATATTATTATGGAAATAAAGTCATGAAGTATTATTTTACATGCAGAGGCCATGGCTTCACAATGCCACTATGGCAACTTGTAGAGGGGAATGGTTGGCTTCTTTTAAACCGTTTTACTGGTTGTTTTAATGCCAGTGAAAGTCAACCTTAACTCATTTCTAAGGAACTATCTAAAATTACTCCTAGGATTCTCAAATATTCACTCTACTAAAACCCCATGTGTGAACTTCTAAGCTTTACCTTATCATCTGAAATCATTTATCTATTGCAACATGATGCAAACAGTATGAAGGTTCCTTAGAAATTAAAAGAAGACCTACCATGGAGGAATAAATGGGTCAATGAGATTTATATATACAACAGAATATTATTCAACCTTACAAAAGAAGGAAATTCTGTCATGTGTTATGACGTGGATGAATTTTGGAGACATTATGTTAAATAAGTTAGTCTTGAAAACAAAATTATGGTATGTATACCTAAAGCAGTCAAATTCACAGAAACAAAAATAAAAATGGTAGTTACCAGGGGTTGTGGGGAGGGGACAAGGGGGGGTGGTTAATGGGCATAGAGTTTCATATTTGCAAGATGAAAAAGTTTGGAGATCTGTTTGGCAGCAATGTGTGTATACTTAACAATACCAAACTGTAAATTTTAAAAAGGGTTAAGGTGGTAAATTTTATACCATGTGTTGTTATCACAATTAAAAAAAATGTCCTCATCATGTCCTTAAAAAAATATTATACTCCCAAAATAGTATTTGTTGTTGGTGTATGTATCTGTTCTTCTGGAAAACTGCAGAAAGCTCTTTTACTTTACTTGATATGTAAAGAAAGCAATTCTGACATATAAGGACAGACATATATGGAACATTTAAAAATATTTGGGGTGGGGTATGTAGGATTGAACCCAGGGGAGTCCTACCACTGAGCTACATCCCTAGCCTTTTTTAATTTTTTTGAGATAGGGTCCTGCCTTAGTTGCTGGTGCTGACCTCCAACTTGCAATTCTCTTAGCTTAGCCTCCGAAGTTGCTGAGATTACAGGCATGCACCACCACACCCAGCTTAAAATACTTTTGATATGTACATATCCACAGGATTCAGTATGTGTTCAAATATATTGCATTACCAGATATATTGATATGCATTTAGAGATGTAAATATGTGCCAAACAAGGCTATGTTTGCCAAAGAGGCCCTATAGTTATAAACCTTGCTTTGAGAATCTAAGACATGCTTGAAATTATCACAGAGCCCCAGGCCAGGGCTGTGTAGTAGACCTTTTTTGTGAATGTAAGAAGATATTCTGAATATAGATATAACTGCATGCATCAAATCAATAGTATTCAATTACTGGTACATAGGGATAAAGGGTAATTTAAAATTGGGAAACAATCTCATTTTTTACTGTTTTGACCACATTGAAATTAACCTAGAGATATAAAATGGAAATGTAACTAGAAAAACAAGTGTTTGGAAATTAGGAAACAATTCTTTATAATTAATTCACAGGTCAAAAGGCAAAAATAAAGCCAAAGATAAAATATGTAGCACTAAATAGTAATTAATAGAACACATGTGCGAACTTATGAGATAAACTACAACACTACTTAGAGGGAAATATATAATCCGCAATGCTTTTATCAGTGTAGATTAAATATTAATGAACTAATTTAAGAAATTAGAAAAAGAATGGAAGATCAAATCCCAAAAAACTGGAATAAATCAAAGAAGAAAAATAAAAGCAGAAATCAATGAAACAGAAAATCTTTACTAGAGGCAGTCAATAAAACTAATAGTTGGTGCCTTAAAAGAGACTAATAAAATTTGTAGGTCTTTTGTAAGAATGTTCAAGAATAATGATGGAAGGCACAATTAAGCAACCTCAAGTTTAAGAAGGGTATAATATTTTTAAATGCTTCACAGATTAACAAAGTAATTAAAGAATAATTATTGAAAATCCTGAAGTTAATAAATTGAAATATACAAAGTGGACAAATTTCTATTGTACTGTGTGTTAGTTTTTCATCACTGTAAATAAAATAGCTGACATAAACAACTTAGAGGAGGAAAGATTTATTTTGACTCATGTTTCAGACCATGGTTGGTGGGCTCCACTGCTCTGGGCCTGAGGTGGGACAGAGCATCATGGCACAAGAGCACAGTGGAGGAAAGTTATTCAGCTCATGGCAGCCAGGAAGTAAAGAAGAATAAGGAAGGAGCCAGGAACAAGATATAACCCTCAAGCACATGCGCCTTAGTGACCTACTTCTTCCAGCCACGCCCCACCTGCCTATAGTTTCTACTACCTCCTAGTAGTTCATTCAGCTTTCAGTGGATTATCCCACTGATGAGATCAGAGCACCTGTGACCCAATCATTTTCCATAAGCCCTACTTCTAGCCATTGCTGCATTGGGGACCAAGCCTTCTGCACATGACCTTTTGGGAGATGTTTCAGATGCAAAAAATTAGAAGCTGTAACAGACATTCAATTAAAAGGATTCCAATTTTACTCAGATTATTACAGATTTTAAGGGAAAAAAGGAACAGTCTCAAACTGTTTCATGATAGAAGCATAATGTTGATATCTTACTAAAGTCTAAAAAATAAAATTATGGGCTACTTTTATTAATAAATATTTAAAAATCCTAAGGAAAGAATTAGGACACTAACTCTGGCAATGCTTAAAAGGGTAATACATCATAACCAAGTTGATTTGTTTTCAGAATGCAAGATTGGTTTGACCTTAGAAAATCAATTTATGTAATTCCCCACATTTTAAGATTAAAGGAAACACAGTATAATTATTT